CCCAGTTTCCTTTCCGTGCAGCTTGTGGAGCACGTCACAAAAATGTATCGAAACTCAGCGTATAGGGGAATTATCCCCCTACGTCACACGACGTCACACAGGTTCAACTGCACATGTCGGGAGCTAAAGACCTATAATTAGCCTATAGGCTACTAGCAAGCTCTTGCGTGCCATCTGAACTCTTGTTTTGAGTTGGTGCATAGATCGTCTCTTCTTCTTCTGCTCTTTTTCCTGTTGTGGTGATTAGCAAAGATCATTAGATTGCCACACACGCCCCCTTCTAGATTGGAGTGTGGATCGCCTGCGACTGACTGTATTCATCGTCTGAGTGTAAGCACCGAACCATGACGTCCGTACCCGGACGGACGAATACATGTACCGTTACACCCCTACGAGATATATATTGATTATCGACAAAATTTGTCAAGATATCAAATTTTAGGTATTTCACCAACCTCTAATATATAAATACATATAATTGTAGAATTGAAGTAGAATTGAAGAGGGAAGACAGAGGGGAACGAAATAAAAAAAAATGAAAAAGTGACAATACAGAGTCTACTGGATTCAATACATCTTGGGTCCTTCCATCAGTAAGTGTTTTTTATTTATTTATTTTTTTTATCATCCAGCAGGCAAAATCGAATGTCACTTAGAAAAATAATACCTCCTTAATATGTCTTTAAAAAGCCTAAACAATTTGAGGCTTCATTCGTGTCTGTAGCAAAAACAGAGCAGCACGAGATGCACGCTTAAGTTTAATACTTAGTTCTAGGGATTTGAACAAACACCTAACATTAATTTTGTCACCCAAGCAATAATAATAGTGAAGCGTAAGCAAACACATTGTTTTGAAAGGATCTCAGCATTCCTTAAAGCTCTTAATAATAATGTTCAGCCACAGTGAAGAGCCGCTGCAGTCAGTGAGCACTTTGGGGCACAATCCTTCATCATGCCTGCAGCACAGGCCTTTTGACCCAGGTGTGAACTTGAGTGTCAATACCGCTCTAGAGTATGTTATTATTTGATCGGCAGCGGTCAGCTGGGGATATAATTCCAGTGCATAGGAGAGCCGGTCGTGCACTCACACTGGACCTAAGTGGCCAGCCATTTCAGCAGCAACTATACTTCTCATTTTTCTCTGCTGGAGGCCCAAGTGTTTTCATCAAATTTACAGTTATTTTTTCCCTCTTGTGCAACCAGAGAGGTGCCAAAAAAAGGAGAGACAGTGCAAGGAGGAAACAAAAACAGGGAAAATAAGTGGAAATAAGGTAGTCTTTTAGACATTGGAAGTGGATAAAGTTAATTTTAGATTAGCACAAGACAAGTATGAGTTTCAAAACATGTCTTTGTAGCTCACCCACATTCAGCCAGAGCTCAGCAAGCAGTAAACGTGTTTCCCAGAGGTACTGCTGCCAAGGGTCTATCATTCATTAGGCTGCCACCATCATCAAATGCATTCCAGACACTTAATCACTAGGATAGAGATAAAATAAAAAGCTTGAAGGTCACCTGGGGGAAAGAGCGATAGAGGGGAGATAGCATGAGGGGTGAAGATGTATGGCCTCATTTTGATTGAGGACGTGATGCCTTCAGTCACACACGACAGAACACCCGATGAGGAGATGCGTTTTGACTGGAGACCTTTATCACAGACTCCAACGATTTGCCATGCTACACATCACAAGGAAACGGCCCTGGAGAATTCAACTGCAAATCGCAAGCGAAAACATTTAATAAGAATATCTGAATCTACCCTCTTCCGTATTCACTTTACGGTCTAGAAGACGAGCGACAGTAGAGCGTTGAGCGAAACTCTGAATCTGAACCATCATGCATATTTCCCATTCTTTCCCGTCAGGTGTTTTTTTGCCTGTCTACTCCTCTGATGTTTTGACATATTTCTCTGCCTCGTCGAGCACTCGTCTCTGATTTGCCGTACTGTTTAATGTTCATGAAGGGCGGCGCAAAACTCAGACCGTTGACAAGCCACTGGCTGTTGTTACAAGATCTTAGACAGACAAAAAAAAGACGAGGTGCACCGCTGAGGAGCCCCACACTCCACTGCCTCAAAATAAAAAGCGCCTTGACCTCCTCGGCAGCCAACTTCACCTCTCAACTGTGACGGACGGACGGCGCCCCGGTCTCGTCCCGTGGCACAGCATGCTTAAATAATGCCGGCTCTTTGCACGCCCCGGGCCAGCAGCCACCCACCATACTGGGAAACTTCTGATGCTTAATCTCCTGAAATGCAAATGTGCCCAACGAGAGATGGGGGTCTCGAAGGAGAGCTCACCCTGCTGTAAACGGACATGCTTAAACCCTCCTCTAAGACTGGCTCAGACTGCACCGACAACCAAATCAGAACTATAATAGTCACTTTCCGGGCTGGAATTTGTATGGCATTTGAATTTGAAAGGGTCTATGGTGGGGCGTACAATTTTGCTCGAGGATATTGGATCTTTCAAGGGCTTTGTTCGCACACCATGACGACAATGGCGACGTTCACCAACTGAGGAAAAATTGTCAAGGCAACATGTATCGAATTTCACAAAAGTTCAGAGCAAAGAGATTTCCCTCCCCTCTCCAAACCTCCCGCCGAAGACGAAACAAGCAATCCACGACACATCCTCTTACTTTAAAGAAAACAAGCGGCTGACACATTTCCTGCCAACAGGCCCTTTCCTCAGATAACACAAGTCTCCCGTCAACAGGAAGCCCTTTCACCGGCGGCTCTGCCTCCCTGTGGCACGTCACACAAAACAGCTCCTCAGCCCCAGCCCCCACAGCCTCCCCTCCAACTGTTGAGGAAAACTTGCAGGAGATGCTCGCTAAAACCAGAAGAAATCAGAAAAGAAAGGTACCGGACTTAAAAGTGTGGGCTGTAGCCTCAAGTCCTTCAAATGCTCTTGGTCTGAGAGGCAGCGTTTTAACAGCCTCAACAATTCTCCTGAAATCAATTCATGTGCAACCTATGGTATCACCATTACACACAGCCTGCCATTACATCAAACCCCAAAAATAGCTTTGGCCAGATAGACGGACAACATTACAGTCTGTGCAAACCACAGGAAAGGGTGCACACAAAAGCACAAACATGCCCTTTAGGCACGGGTCAATGCTTTAGATTTGTTAAAAGCCTCCAGTTCTTGTGCGCTCACCAGAAGTTTACACGAGTGAGTGCACGAGCGCAGCAACGACGTATAAAGGATTTGAGGAAAGTTAGTAAAAAGCAAAGCAGAACTCACGTTAAGTGCAGAGTGCATTTGAAGAGCGGTGAGAGAAGAAAACCTGAGACAACCTTCATAAGGCAGGGGCTGTACTGTTAGAGCAGCTGCTAATAGGAGAACTGGCAGAAGAGAGAGAGAGAGCAGACGCTTTCTGCAGGCTGCTGTGATGACATGCAGGCTTTTTTCCTTTTTTTAGTAAGGGGGCTTATCTTTGTCTCTATGGTAACTGTGTCTCTGGGTGGTTATTAGAAACCCTGAACTTCCTGTGCATCTGCAGGATCAGCCAATCACACGCCGTGTTTTCATAGGCGGAGATAGCTCGTGCTATAGGCAGTGAAGAGCGGCCACATGAGGGGGCCATGGAAACAGAGGGTCAGGGAAAACTTACAGCACAGCATTGCGCGACACGCCAGCGTAAAACAAAACGAAACTGTCTTCATTGTACTCTACATATTTATAGAAACATCTAGCGACCAGAATAGAGTGAATCCAAGAGCTATTTTTTTTTCCCTAGCAAAACAGCCTCCATGCCAGAAGCTTTTTCTAAAAGGGACATTGCTATCAAAGTATTTCAGTACTTTTAGGACGAAAATGGAAACTCTTGTGGAAAACACAAACTCAGCATCTCAGATTCCCGGAAAAAACTTGCTATAGCACTGTGGTAAAGAGTCTTGCAGACAGACAACCGCAGAAAGCTCAGAGCTCAGCAGAACGGCCAGAGTTACAAGAGTCCAGCTCTAATGACAATAAATCCATAGGATGTGCTGTGTACCAACACATTCATGCGGTTCGTTTTAGCAGTAGACTGTGGATGAGCAGACCTTAATGCTCATGAATGCAAATGAACAGTGAGAATGCAGATTGCAGTTGCAAAGCAAAAAAGCTGACATGGAGCACGCTTCTAGGACAGGGCTTTCAGCTGCTGTGTCCAAGCGTGCACAGAAAAGACAGCTGAACTGAAGAATTGCAACTTAAAACTATCAGATTACAACGGGAAAGCTTCATTTTCCCAGCTCAGCCAGGAAATAAACCAGAAACCAGAAATGAACCAAAAGTTAAAAAGTAAGAATATGCCTATGTTTATCCTCACAGACAAAAATGGGAACACACTTTAAGTGTTTATAGGAAGTACAAAAACACACACACACACACTCGCGCTCACTGCATAGTTTCCCAGTAGTCTCTCCGTCTCCTTGGTTTATGCGGGTGAAATCATTTGGAGCAATGTGGCTCCCTTGCGCTGACTTGTTTTCCACCCAGCGAGCACATTCAAACTTCACTCAGTGGCTGCTTTATTTAACACTGCATTTGTTGACAAGTCTCGGAGCAAAGTTCCTCACGAAGAACCCTGGGTGCTGAACTCGAGAACATCAAATACAAACATTAACAACCAGAACTGAGTGCCCTACACCCTGAGGTCGAGATGTTACTTAATCGGCACCAAGAAAAACATCAACCAGTCTACAAGGACAGGAAGGGAACGACCACCGAGGCACGCTCAGCGAGGGACGGTCTAGACCTCTTCCAGCACCGTTTACAGATGCAGTGACTTCCATTCCTCAGTGACAGGAGCGTGCCCTCTTTCCTGTCTCTGCTGTCACAATATTTCATCCGGCGTAAGTAGCACATGTCCCACACGTAACTAGACTCACCAGCCCGGAGCTCCCAGTTGCGTCTAAATGCACGCGAACGCTCTTGCACACCGGCTGACTCCTGACAAAACAGAAAGCCCTGATAGATTACAGCAAGAATGATCAATCAGACACAAACCTTTTAATCCAGATCGTCCCCTGATTGGCTGCCTCCGCATGAGCTCCAGATTTTTAAATCCGACTGGTTAATCCCTCCATTTCTCTCAGATTCAGTATTTCAGCAGTGACCACAGTGGGCTCTAACATTCACTTGGCTTTTTTCTCTCCCTCCCTCTTTCTCTTTCTCTCTTTGCACTCTGTTCTGAGACCGCTCACTGAGCTCTGGAACTAAGGCAGCCTGATGAGGAGGGAAGCATCTCGCTGGGTCCTAGTGCCTCTGGTGTTAACTGAAAGAATGCCATTGTTCCGTTTGTAACCCAGGGCTACACTCTCCAGACGGCTGATAAGTCCTCCGCTGTGCCAGATCCACTCTCGGGGTATTTGTAGATGTACAGAGATGGAGAGCTGTTTGATATCCATTACCTGGGGGGCAAATGCATAAAATATTTGTAAAATAATTTACAAACTGATCTAATAAATATCTTGTTTTATTGCTGTATAAATATCTAAACATACATAAAACTGTAAGATTTCTTTACATTTTTTTTTTTTTGTGCAAAATGACATCAAATCTTGTTTTTAGAGAAATATAGTACAATTTAATGAGGGTTATGCTTAAAACAAAAACTAATGCTACTTTTTAATTAGTAATAAAGAGACCTCCTTCCAGCATTTCTACAGTTTGTAGTCTTATTCAGCTTTGTCAAAATGAGATGTTAGGTTGAACATTTAAACTGCTTTTTTTATATACAACTTGTGTGCTAAATTCATAGGCTCCTGGAGAAATACAATAACTGAAATTGGTTATTCACTGATAACATATCTGATAAAATTTCTATACACTGTAAGTTTAATCGGAAGGTTTGACATCAATGATTCTCACATGTCTTGTGACTAATTGCAATGTAGCAAGTTTAAATAGTTGCATGGCTTTTGAAGACTTGAAATATATTGCAGAAGTAATATTAACTATAACGATGGTGATTTTTGGAGACTGACAGCACTAAGTAGAATGGAAAGGAGCAGCCCAAATATTCTGCCTAGCATCTTATTTAAAAATAAAAAATAGAAGAAGAAATGAGGGTGAGCAGATGAGAATATTTGTTTGAATTACTCCTTTAAGACAGTTGATTTCTGACCAAGTTTTTTTCTCAAATGCAGATAAATGACTCAAGTGGGACTAAAGTATGGCATAACAAAATCCCTCCATGTCAGCAGCATGAAAGCACACAAATCACAACCATTTTTATTTATTTTTTTGCAAATGACGTGAACATTGAAAGCAAACTGATCTTACAAAATAGGTAGCATCTGCTAAGATCACAACAGATGTCACCTGAAGCCTGAGGAAATAAACACGCTTTTGCATGTCTTTCTAGCTTTTTAGTATACCTACTTTTTAATGACAGATTGAAAACAACCACTAAAAGCCTCATGACATTGAAAAGAATGTGATTTTAGCCCTGCCCTTTAAGAGATACTAATATTGTTTTACAGGGGGGGAAAAAAACATAAAATCCCCAAATCCTTTGCTACCACTCTGAAGTGTTCTCTATTATAAATGTGGCAGCAATGCTAAAACTATTATGTGCACGGACGCTACAGCCAAGGCTATAAATATAAGCAACACATGGAGCGGCAGACTGCAAACCAGGGGGAAATTTGGGCTGCTTATATCTGTCAAGAGCTGCACGAATCAGGCCGCCGGCCATATGATCAGCCTGGGGCTGAGTCCACCTCCTCAGCAGGGAGCTTTGTAACTGCGCTTCTCATTTCTTTTCCCAAAAACAGATTGAGACAGAGAGGGGGGAATTTTTGTAAAATACTCTGGATGCTTATGTGAAAAATGCCTCCTGATGATCAAAGTGTCTTGAGTGTCCCTTATCTAAATAACAGTTGACTTATGTGCTCACAATGTAAACTCAGTGGCTTACCGCAGATCTTGGGGGCCCCCCGTGAACAATGAGACGGGGCCCTGGACACAAGTGGAGATGTCATCCACCACAGTGCTTTTCTCGGGCCCGAAACAGCATCTGATGGGGAAAGAAAGTGATGTTATGTTGGGCAATTTATACCTTTTTTTTAATCCTTTTAAAGGCTGAAATATCTTTTTAGAATTTATGCTTTAAGTATACAAATTCTAAACAGTTAGTAAGCATTTGAATGCCACAAGTGATGATGCAATTCTGTAATGAAGGATGGTTCAAAACACTGTGCATGTATTTGGTCCACTGTGCTCACAAATCAATAATTAACATTCAAGAGCATAATACACAGAATTCATTGTGATTTCGGTCACTTTAGATTAGGGTCCAATTCTCACTATTAACTACAACTTTTGTCTCAATAAATTCCTAATTCCTGCTTATTAATAGTTAGTAAGGTAGTAGTTAAGTTGGGTGGGAATTGGGTAGGATTAGGAATGAAGAATAAGGTCATGCAGAATAAGGCATTAACATGTGCTTTATACTCATAAACAGCCAGTATTGTAATATGCATGCTAATAAGCAACTAGTTAATAGTGAGAATTGGACCCTAAACTAAAGTGTTACCGATTTCTAAGTAAATATATTTATGTAGAATTTGCATAGCATCAAAAAGGAAACTAACACACAGTATATTTCCTGCTTTAATGCAACCTGTACCGAGTAAAATTAGTCTAGATCTGCAGTTTAACCCAAATAAAATGTTAACCGAGGCTGTGGATTCTAAGCACATTTTTACAATAACAGTGTAAAGAAAAAAATGCTTGTGTCCTTGACTGATGCTTAAAAAAATAGAGCTATTGATTTTTTATGTTATGTGAATGAAGCCAGACTCGTGAGCACAAGAGCTTTTCAAAACTGTACATTTTCAGATCAAGCAGTTAATCATGTACAATAACGTTTCAGTAACAGAAACCGACTGAGCTGCCAAATGCTCTGGCCTCTGAACGTCTGGCAAAAAGATCCAGCTTTTGCAGCAGCTGTAGGATGGAATTCTGTTTGTGTTCCCCAGTGCTAATGTTTCAAGTGCCACTAAATATATAAAAATAGCAGCACATCTCAATATAAAGCAAGATCTTTATGAGTAGGTTGCAAAGATGAAATGTAGCAAACAGTGATTTACAGAAATTGAATATATAAATATATTCATATAAATATGGTTGCAAAAATTACTCATGATGCCATAATAAATAAATAAACTATAATGAGAGCAAATGTTCATGATTTTGCTTTAATAAATCGAATTGTACAGTATGATTGGATGAACAACGATATAACACACCTGTGATTGCACATCAATTGAATTCTATATTAATGTGCACTCACACTCATCTTTGATCATTTCGTTGCTTGGCAACCATAAACAGTCAGCGGTTGAGCTAATGAACTATATTACTAAGCAGGAGAATTGTTTATTATCATTAACAAATGCAATTGTTTATTGAACATAAGTGTCTGTCATCATATTGATGTTGCTGTTTTAGGAAAACAATAAGCCACTCGAGGATGTTACAATGATTTTTCCATATCACACTTCACATCACCCTTTAATTATGGTAAAATGACTGTAAAATGCCCTCAATAGGCTTTTTAAATGTAAAATGTCCAGGCAGCAAGTGCTCCATAAGTTCTCTAGTAAACCGAGAGGAAACGAAAATGAAGTGGGTTCTTCTTTGTTTTGTTTTGCAATATTCACCATTTTCAACATCCTAAAAAAATGACACTATTGATAAAATTAACTATGTATGTCCTTTCTTTTCCTATATCACAATCTCTTTTCTCTGTACTCATTAAAATGATTTACATGCAGCAGTCACAAGAATAATACAATTAATGTTCCTCTCAGTTAATTACTCCATGCACCTTCCTCTGTAACATCTTTGAATGCATTTGGAAAAAAATAATAATAATACAAAGCCCAGATGAATGTCTTCATCATACAATATTTTGCCCGAGGCACTTAAGTGAATTAATGTAGCATAATTCCTGTGCGAAGTGCTTGCTTAGTGCAATTAAAGGATTAGAAATATACATTACTAGGCAGGACATTGGTAAACAGTCATGCTGTTGCCTACAAGAAGTGATTTCTTTGGTTTCATATTCTAATGCAAAACTTCAATAGATCAGGCTAAAAAAGAGAGCCATTCACATATGATTACAGGGAAAAGGCTTCATCTGATAGAAAAAAGCTTGCAATGACCTCTGTGGTGGATATAGTGTAAGCTCACTTTAGCTTTTGATCATTATCAGTAGGGTGAATCTTTAAAAAACCTGTCAACACTTACATCAAAAGAAAGAAAGAAGAAATAATCTTTCTTTTATAAGAAAATTAAGCATATTTTAGAATGATTTTACATTGTAAAAAAAACACTAAACACTAAAAAGAAACACTAAAACTAGTTCTCACTACTTAAAAACAATTAAATAAATAAAATTTTCATTCCCATTAGTGTAATGTGAAAATAAAGGGGACCTATTATGCAAAATTCACTTTTACATGGTGTTTGAACATAAATGTGTGTCGGCAGTGTGTGTACACAACCACCCTATAATGGTAAAAATTCCTTCTCCTCTTTTTTAATCCCCATAAATCATACAGTATGCATATGCCCACGATTGCTGACAGACTCTGCTTTATAGACCTCGCCCTGAGTGAGCTGTACAGTACACACAGTCCGCCATGTTTATCTCCTCGCCAGAGCATTTAACAGCTTTCAAGACATGTAAGTTATTCTTAAAGCTACTAAAGTCATTCAGAAAAGAGCAGCGGGTGTTTTTTTGTTTTCTTTTGTCGTTTGATTCATATTACTGCTAACAGCATACACAGCAGTGTGCTGTATAGCTGCTTTCACTTTATACACAGATCTAATATAACGTTACACATGCGCTTTCTTTCCCTAGCTGCTATTTACATTCACATACATAACCGACTGTGTTTATGTGAACTTTGTGTGTTTTTGACATAACCTTGTGTTTATTTGACAGTTTAAGAGCAATAAGACGGGAAAGAGAACTTAGTTTAATACTCACGGGACACGCCGTCTGACATCCAGCTTTCTATGTGTGTGCGGCTGTGTGCTCAGAAAACCTTCATATATCTTCATATATCAGAAGTTTAGACTGATATAGCTTTAAAACCCATGCAGATAATACAGTTTCATGATGATGAAGAACTGCAATGTCATGTGAGATTGACCGCGGTAGGGATGATAATCAAAACCAAACAGATGTTTTCGTTT